TCAGTAACAAAACACAAGACTCACGTCTGATAGTGCGCCCGGCGTGGTTCTCCCCACGCTCGGCGTGATTCACCCAAGGATTCCCTATTTCAAATCACGTCCGACGTGAAGAACTGTGCCCGACGCAATTTCAAACAGTAACTCTCACCACTTCGAAAAATTCAACCAATACCTGCTAATCACCCAGCTCAAACACATGCAATCCATAAAATGAACTACATTTACATCATACAGCTCAAAAACCATCTCTTTTTCAACATGCAACCATCAAACGTGTAAAAATCCTCATTTTTCCCAATTTTCCCGAAACCCCGAAAATGCACAACTCATCAAATCTGACCATCAATCTCCAGAAATCAAACAACATTTGAGTTCCCACACACATTCTCAACAAATCTGCACAAAACTAACTTCCCTTACCTCGGTGAGAAGAAATCTGAGCTCCCGGGAAGTGGAAGAGAAGAAAAGGAGAAGGAGAAAAGGATTTCGGCTTCCAGCTAGCTCCAAACGTCCGTGAGTTGAAAAAGATGGATCCCTTGAGCACAAAACACCTCAGCCTAAGAGTAGAATCAGAAGACAGAATGGGGCAAAGAGAGTATTAGAGTGAAAGTGAAAGTGAAAGTAGTGAGGAAGAGAAAAGAGAAGCGGAAGAATGGGGTCTCACAATTGGTTTGTTTGAAACTAATTCTCGTAGTTTTCATCATTTTAAATCTTTCAATTATTTAAAAATATAAATATTCTATCACATTTTTTCCCCAAAATTATATGTATCTTTTATAAAAAAAATAATTATATTAGTGAAATTTTTTCGTAGATAAAATTTAAATTTAAAGAAATCAAACATCAATCATGAGTTTTTTTTTATTAATAAGGAATTATATTGAGGACGTACAACAGGGTTTAAATTTAGGATCGCCTGTATATTACTCCAATTTTCCTTTATCGCGGAGGTATAACAACTTAGTTTTTTTCTTTTCTTTTAACATAAAACAACTTAGTTAATTGAGTATGATAGGTAAGTTATGTTAAATATAGGCTAAAAACCTATTTTTGGTCCCTTATAATAATTGTTTGTTTCAATTTAATCCCACTTTTATTTTTGGTATCAATTTGGTCCCTAATAAATTAATTGGTTGCAATGTCGGACTTTCGTCCAAATGATTATAACAGAGTTAACTGTTGGTCACGTGGATGCCACGTAAATGCATACATGGATGTCAAATTTCTTGAATACACCTGGAACCAGAACGGGCCGTTCTAAGTGCACTCTTCGTGTGTTAATTTTGCATCTGAAACGGGCCGTTCCAGATGCAAAATTAGCACACCATGAGTACATCAGAACGGCCCGTTCTGGTTTCAGAACGGGCCGTTCCAGAACGCCAATTTGTTAAGTGGAGACAATAGAATATTCTATATTATTTTTATTAAAAAATATAATAATTTTGAAAAATATTTTTTTACGGTAAAAATTTTAAAATTACTTATTTTTATAAAATAAAATTATCTTATAAATAGAGTTATAACTTTTCCTTTTTCTTTTTCTGTCTGAAGAATTTAAGTGTCACTTTATAATTTTTTACAACTTATTTAAAATTAGAGGAATAAAATGATAAAAAAATTAATAGAATAAATATAATAAAATTATTAATTTGTTTTCTTTTAGTGTCCTCTAAATTTTTACACTCATTTAAAACAAAAATATTTTATATGTTATTTTGAATTAATTTAACGAAGTATCATATGATTTTTAATTTTTTAAAAAATTTTATAAATTTGATCTATATATGAAAAGCTTTTTAATTTAACAATTAAATTTTTAAAAATTTGATATAGAACATTAATTATTAAGTAAAATAAATCTATCAAGACTTAATCTTGAAGTAAGTAAATTTTTTCTTCATTAAAAATGAAGATAATTTTACCACAAAATAAAAAATAATTAAACAATAAAATAAAATATAAAAAAATATTAATGTATTTATTATATTAGATATAAGAAGATAATTAAAATGTAATTAATAATATATATTTTATAAAATTATTAATATTTTATATATAAAAAAAGAATTGAAAAAAAATTTAGTGGGGGCAAGTGCCCCCCACTATGATTAACTTAAATCCGTCATTGCATGTGGTTGTGTGGTGAAATTTAGTCCTGTGTATCCTCTTCCTTTACTTCAGGTTGTACCTCCTCAAGAACATGTTGTTGTTGTTAGGGTACATCGTTAATAACTTCAAGAAAAAATATCATGTCATTTCATCCTTTACTGTATAGTGTCAATTTGGTAGTAAGTGGTTCACTCCAGTTTGACTAATGAAATAAAATCTGCTACCATTGTCTTTAGTGATACACTACATTGTCCTTAATGATACACTGTATAACCCAACTGTTTAGCAATTGAAGTTATCAATTCCCATTGACAATATTACCAAATTCAGTGTTTGAAATGCTTTGTACATTGGGTCTTTTTCTTTCCACGATTCACAACCGTGAACTATAATCATTGATAGTTTGTGTTTGGTATTCTGAAACCAGAACGGCCCGTTTTGGTTGCACTCTTAGTGTGTTAATTTTGCACCTGGAACGGACTGTTCTGGATGCAAAATTAACATACCAATAGTGCACCCAGAACGGTCCGTTCTGGTTTCAGAACGGGTCGTTCTGGTTTCAGGTATTTTCAAAAAATTTGGCATCCACGTGACATCCACCTATGCATCTACGTGACATCTACATGACCAATAATTAACTCCGTTTAAATAATTTAGACAAAAATCTGACATTACAACCAATTAAGTTATTAAGGACCAAATTGAGATCGAAAATGAAAATGTGACTAAATTAAAACAAATAATTATTATAAGTGACTAAAATAGGTTTTCAACCTTAAATATATGATACCAAATTCGATTTTGATAAACATGTGGCATCTATGTTGACAAATATTTATAAAACGTGAGAATTTATTCTCTTAATTTTCTAATTCCGTTCACATTACACTCTAATAAAGTACACTCATTGCTTTTAAAAGCTCCAAATCCGCATCGAACACACGTCCAGTTTCTAAATAAATCAAAGGGGTAAAAATGTCATATTGTTTCATGAGTCATCTATTCTTAGTTTAATTTTTTCAAAGTTTACTTTGTTACGTTAAGTAGTTACAAAAATGTGCCTTTATTGGTTCGATAAATTCAATATTGGATCACAAACTTGATTTGATTAATCATGAAAGACATCGGATTAATAGTTAAGTAATCACATATTAGTTGTAAACTCACTCACGTATTTGGTATTCTTAATCACTTATTTCTCACAATTTATCAATTTATTTTATCACTATCTCTAAATTAATTTTTTAATTATTTTAAAAATAAATTATCAATAACTAAAATTAATACTATATCATAATTTAAGTATTTTTTATTATAAATTTAAAAATATATTTGATTTGTATTTATAAAATAAATTATTTATATAATATTTATTTATTATAAATTTTAATCAAATAAAAATAAACTTATACTTAATACTAATTAAAATTAAAAAAACAATTACACTTTTTGCTTATCATGACTTAAATTATGCAACATCTTTAATTTTTTAACTTTATTTTGTTTAAAAGGAGTTGTTTGACAATTATATTTCGCACTTTAAGACAAACGTGTCAATCTCTCATTGATGACACAGGAAGTTAATCCCCGTATTTTACTATAGAATTAGACAGCAGAGATTTTAAGTTCACTTTTCACAAATTTTAATTCTTCACGCATTAAGTACATTTTTTGAATTATTATTGTTTTGATTACACCCGTTGTTAAAACTTAATGCCATGCATGTATTAACGAATACACACATATAAATCAAGATTATTTGCATATTAGATGTAACATTTTATATATGATAATTTTTATTTACATAATTTGGTGAAACATGTTGAAGACGGATTGAGAAAAAAAAAAGCAAGGATAAGTTCCAACAAATTTAAATGATTATTAATAATTATTGGAGCTTGTTCTTTATTTTAAAATATATAAAAACATGCATTAAATTAACTCACACAAAAAAAAAAAAAAAAAAACACATGAGAAATTGGCTTTTCTGGTCATCACACACTCAAAGAAAAAACACCCAAATACATGATCATTATCTTATAAAGTTTAAAACTTTGCATGTTGATAGATAGTTAAAATCAACAAAATAATATGTACAAGTTCTTAGATTTAAATATTGTTGTCATTATTGTAATTGTTTTAAATGAAAATATAAAATTGACTTTAAATGATAATCAATAGCAATTAATTTTGACTCTATATAAAAAATTGAACATTTAGAGAACTAAAATAGGTATTTATTCAATGAAAAATCAGTAAAAAAAAAAAATTAGTCACGTTTAGATTGAGCAGGCTCAAAATAAATATCTTGTTATATAATTCAAATTAACTTAATTTTATTAAAATAGCTTTATTTTTACATAAAAAAAAGTACTTACTAAAATGATGTTTCATACCATTTATTGACTAAATTGTAAAATAAATTATGTTTTACATCAAAAGTATAAATTTTGAGTGATAAAAATAATTAGGTCCATCAATTTTAACAAATAACTAACCAAATAAAACTATACAAACTAAAATTAAAAAATGACGTTAGGTCAACTTAGTTATGTGGAATTGCCCTCATCTAACAAAGGCTATGGATCATCATGTAAGATTTAAGGGCAACACTAATGTAGTAGATTCGTTATTTTCACAAAATAAAAGACAATTCATTTTTTTTTACGAAGTACAAGTTTTAGCAGCTGAATGTATTTTCCTTTCCTATTCTAATCCCAAATATAAGACCTCGAACATATGTTTGGCTTGGGATGACGTTAATAAATAAAAGAGTAGTTGGTGCTAGCTGTAGCAAAACAATAATTTTTTTTTTTAACTTTACAATAATATCAGGCAAATATAGAAATTAGATTTCTTGTTTTCCAATGAATCACAGACGCGTACACATATTTAGTATTAGTATCATTAAATTAAAAAAGAAATAAAACGCAAGTAAAAGTTGTTCACGGGACCAATTTTACAAAACTGGAAACAAACTAAAAATTATCCGTACATAATCGAAAATAATTGGAAATTGTAAATTCAATATTCGAAACTTTGTCCTCTAAATAAAGGGTTGGTGATATCATATCATATAGCACTAGCAGACTAGCAGTCGGTCCCAACTTTAGAAAAACTTTTGTTTTAGTAATTATGACTCTATGAGGGTGAAGTAGCGAAAGAAGCATGGGTCGTCGAAAGATTGAAATTGCAACGGTGAAGGACCCTAACACAAGGCAAGTAACATTTTCTAAGCGTCGAACGGGTTTATTCAAAAAGGCGAATGAATTGTCCATCTTGTGCGGAGCAGAAATTGCTATTCTTGTGTTCTCCATTGGAAATAAGCCTTACTCTTTTGGCCACCCTAGTGTTGAAGCTGTTGTTGCCAAGTATCTTCCACATGCGACCCTTTCAAATGATGTCCAACAAAACAATCCATCTAATGAATTTGGTGACATAGATGGGTTAAATCAACAATTATCTAAAGTTCAGGCCCAAATACTTGATGAAGAAAAGAAGGGTGCAGAGCTTGATGAGATGCTAAAACAACTCCAAGTGACACAACTTTCTCAGTGTAAAGAATTGCAAGGTTCATTTTTAAAGCTCCAATGTAGGGTGAAGGATTACATTGACGCAATCCAAGTGTCAGAGTGCATGATGCTCCTTGCCCAAGGACCACAAATTGGAATAACAAATCAAGTGACTACAAAGAAAAGAAGAAATAGTTGATACGCTGCAACATGTAATTGATCCCCAAGTGTTTTGGTTGCTTTAATTTTAAAAAATTACCATGAAATAAAAATAATTTCCTTTAATTCTCGTGTCAATTTCTGTTATTGTTTGTGAAAGAATTGCATTTTCCTTGTTTATTGAATTTGAATTTATTCTAAAAAATTTAATTTTCAAGAGTTTTACCCTTAAAATAAATACACTCAATTCAGATTTAGTGGGATATCGATCTAATATGATTTCTGGTACTATAAGATCCTTTTATCCTTTGATAACTTGTATTGAATTATCACTGGAAAAGTATAAACCTTGGTGTAAATGTGTAACAAGGATCTACACTACATCATGTTTCTTTTAAAAGTAATCAATATTAGTGTAACAATCAATTTTATCACGGTAAAATAAAATTATCATATACAATCTAATAATTTAAAATTTTAAAATAATTTATCTAAATAAAATATTTTAAAAATAATAAAAATTAAAATCAAAATACTTTAAATATCAAGAATTTAAAATTTTTTGAATTTGTAAATTTTTTCATTCAAACAGACAAAAAGATAATCTTCTAAAAAAAAAAAAAAAACTCCTAGGCATGCTCTGGTGACAAAGAAGTGTCTAGGAATTTCGGACACAAACACAATTAGAGCTCAATACACTTGGTACAAGAGAATAATGAGGATTATTGACACGTGGATTGAAAAGAATGAATGACGATCCTATGGTTAATATTTTTGAAAAATGATGACATAAATTGAAATTGAAAGAACGAAAGAAAAGGAAGAGTTAGATTCATTTTGAATATTTAAAAATAAATTATCAACCTAAAATTATATTATATTATATTATTTAAATGAATTTAACACGTTCCAAGTTTTTAATTTGTGAAATTAACACGTGACTGGAAATGAGTTTGCATCTTCCCGTAAACCAATTTCCTCCCACATGTTTACTCGGCAAGAATTGAAAATTAAAAAGTTTGGAAAATGTGTATTTTTTGAAAGAAAATAAAAAGAGATGTGTAAAGGTAAAATGGAAAGGTGTGTTTAGCAATTTGGCCCAGGCTATTACCGACCAGAAATAGCCTCAAACCATTATGGGCTTGTACACTTTTTTTTTTTTTTTTAAATAAGTACACCTCCTTTATTTATTTTTAATTTTTTTAAAAAATATTTATAATTTTTTTTATTTTAAAAATTTTTAATTTTACATCTCTAACTTTTAATTTATTATTTTTTCTTTTCACACACCACCTTCCTTATCTTTTCCAGTTTTCACATGCACTATCTTGTCTTTTACTAATTTCTCACCTATTTTAGTGGGTAGTTTTAGTTACCTTGAATTTTAGATTACTCTTTATTTTCTCACCTCTTTCACTTTTTCACATGCACCTAAATCATAGAACTAGTAAGCGACAACATTGTAGGTACGTGTAGCTTTCTCGACAGTTTCTATCAAACTAGACACACATTTTTTCTTCCAACACTTTTTTTCTTTTCACCCTTCCAAAAACCTTAACATTAAGTTTAGTGTTATCAAAAAGACATTTTTACTATTTTAGAGTACTATGCGGATAGTGAAATCAGTGAGAAAACTGAAAGAGAAAGAAAAAAAAAATATATAACTAAAAGAATTAAAATTATCTACTAAAATAGGTGGGGGTGTGCATGTGAAAATAAGGGAAAGATTATGTAAAAAAAAGTGTTAAATTAAATATTAAGAGTGTAAAATTAAAAAATTAAAAAAAAAAGAGAATATTTTAAGAATTTATATATATCATGATCCAAAACTCACTGCTTAAAGATGGATCACTCATGAATTGTGATACATTAAAAAAAAAAAAAAAAAGACTTTAGGATCTCTTACACCTTGAATTTATAAATAAAAAATCTTTTTCACATGAAGACTTAAAAATAAAATTAAAAATGCATCATAGTTTACAATTTTATATTAATTTTTTATTAAATTATTTTTTTAAAAATAGCACGCACAATTTTATTAAATTAAAAATTTCGGCATAGGCCGTAAGCTCTAAACGTCGAGAATAAGCAAACAAACATTCATCGTTCATATATACGCCTCTTTTTTTTTTCTTTTTTTTTTTCTCTTTAATTTCAAAATATCTTTTTAATTAATTTTTAAAATAAACTTTACTTTTAAAACTATCTTTTTATTCACTCCCTCTTTACTCTTCTTCTTATACTTCATCCCTCTCGAATCAGTAGACAATCTTCCTTAATTTTTCTTTCTTACTTTTTGGTCATTGATTTCCCACTCTAGCAATCAAAGATAATCACACATCATTTTCATACTTTTCAAATCTTATTTATTCATTATTTACTTTATTATTCTTTAAATTCTTTTTTTTTTTTTTTACTTCATCTTATTGTTCCTTTCATTGAATACAAGATATAGATTAATGTATTCAATTATATTTAACTATAATTTTTGTAATTTATTTAATATTACTTATACATCAGGTAATTTTTCACGAAAAGAAGAAGGAACTTGGTTTTCTAAATACATTTGTTTAACTAATACTTCATGAAAACGTAAAAAAAAAAAAAAAAATCGTCGTTCTCATAAATTGACAAATCATTTTATTACACTTCTAAAAAGAAATTTTTTAATATAATATTTTATACTTTTGGAGGAAATATGTATTTCATTAATATAAAGAATATGTATTTTTTTACTATAAATTTTTATTGAAGTTAGTGGTCTTTTCTAACCTTACAATAGACATATATATATATATATATATATATATATTTTAATATCTAATGTTTTTATTGACCAAATCATTATGAGAGGATTTAATATGAGTTTTTAGAAAATGATTTTAGCAATAAATAAATAAAAGAAATTAACTAATTTTTTAATAAAATTATAAGAACTAGCCACTAGCCAAATAATTTACCCAAAATAAAATCTAGATTTTATTAGCATTGCTGCGTAACACAAAGATTGAAAGTGATTTGGATTCTGTTAATTAATGTGTGCCAAACTTCTGACGCTGACAAACCTAACGCAGCGGCAAGCTCCTTGCGAGTATCCATGTGTTACTTATGTGTATGTTTATACCAAATACTCATTATAAAAAATAATCATTAATTTATGATAGTATTAAACTATTAATGTTGCCGTAGTACCGTTTCATAACTTTGGTTTGGTTTACACCCTGCATCACAATTCTAAATTTCTATTAATTATGCTATTATATGCTTATGTGTACACTTTTACCACCAAGGAAATAGTTTATTCAAACTCTTATTTTAATGAATAAAAAAATTACAAGGACTATAATAAAAATTGAATATAAATCATATAAATCAATCGTAATTACTAAATCATTAAATTAAGTACAATGCATGGTCGTTTGGATAAATAACATATCAATCTTATTTAATAAAATGTTATGTTACAAGAATTCATGAACAATTTATTTCTAAAAATGTTAATGAAAGTTTGAATAAATTTATAAAATATATTATTTATAAGATATTTTGTAATTATTTAAATAATTTGTATATTATTACTTATTACTTAAGTCCGATTTTAAAAAAAAGTATGAATAATTTATTTTTATTTATCTTATTTTATAAGTATTTATTAGAAAATATTCAAATTTGAATCCTAATACCAGCAAAAATAGTTTTTATTTTATTTTAATTCTCATTCTTTCACTAAAAAATATATTTATATTTTTTTCGTTACTTTTTCTAAAGGTTTTCATTTATTTCTTGTTCCTCTTTATTTTTGTTTCTCCAGAAAGTTTTGATTTCTTTCCCCAAAATTCACATTCTCTTGCTATTGAAAAATCTCATAACTTTTTTTTATAAAAAAAAATAGCACATATGGAATATTTTTTTTTTAATATTTATACAATAAATTTTTTAATCACAATTTTATACAATATATAGAATTGATTTTTAATTTTTAGAATGTATGGTTCTTAATTTTTATTCATATATATATATATATATATATATATATTATTTCCCATATTTTATTATTAATATATTTATTATAAACTAAAATTAGGTGAATGGTGATTATTAATTTTTTATTTTTAATATTATTATGATGTATAATGTCATTTTTAAAATTTATTTAGTTACCTTTTATACTTTGATTATATTTTTAGTCAAAATTTAATTTTGTAATTTTTAAAATGAGATAATATCTTATAAATACTTAAATATTGATATATCTAAACACTTTAAAATTATACAAGTACTTATTAAGTACCAAAAAAAAATACAAGTATTTATTAACATGTATATATATTTAAAATTAATTATTACATAAATATATATTAAATAAGATCTTAAACAAATTATTTGTTTAAACAGACCCTTAATTTATGCAAAAACTTATTGATAATATATCATTCACATAATAATTTTATTTTAATTTTTTATTATTTCATTAAAAATCAATTTATATTCCTTTTTATTATTATCTTTGTTTGGTTCTTCAAAAAAAAAAAGTTGTTTCGCTTTATTTTTTTCGTCTTCGTCTCCAAAATGTTGTCTATCTATATATTCCTCCTAAAATTAACATTACTCTATTATAAAAAATTCGTCATAACTTTATTTTCTAAAATAACACACGTACTTTATTATAAATCTCTTTGTCAAAGGTATATAATTTTATTTTATTTTATTGTCAGTTTCAGTTACTGTTTTACAGTTCTTTTTTTTTTTACTCATTACATAATTTTCATTACAGATCTCAAAATTCATATACTTAAGTATTTTTTTTCTATTTTAATTTTTGTTAATTATAAAAGGTGAACGCATTTAATTAACGGTGACGAATATTATATAACAATATACATGACATATGTCTCAAACTCAAAGTAATGAAATGTTTTAGTACACCGTTAGGTGGCACTGGCAGCTATCTTTGTCCTTAGAGGGGCCAACTAATAAATGTTTTACCATCCTAAAAATGTAGGATCAAATCACATATTACTCGTCAATTATTAAAAAAGAAAAAGAAAAAGAAAAAGATGATAATGTCAAATGGATAATAACAAATGTTGGCGCAACAATTCTAACCCCCTACAAGTCAATAAACAATAATGATATTACGAGAGAGAGAAAGAGTTTGTAGTTTGTAGTTTGTAGAGGCTCACACGCAATCCACCATATATATAAGTATAAACAAGCTTAACCATCATGTTCATGTGTTAGTTCTATTGTGTTGTGTGCAATGGGTAGCGACAACGTTAACCTCACCGTTTCAGAGAGCACCAACAACATTGTGTGGATGCCTCTGTCGGTATCAACATCCAACAGTTCCATAGATTTGGAAGCTTTTGATCTGGACGAGGCTCTCGGCCTCGCGGTGGTAGACGGAGAGTCACGCCGTCCATTTATGGCGTGGGAGAGCTTCGTCTCCAACTTGCCTACCGTTAACCACGTGAAACGGGACGACGTTTGCTCCGTTTGCATGGAAGGGTTCACCCTGCGCAACACGGATGAGGAAAACAAACGAGTCCCGTGCGGCCACGTGTACCATTCAAATTGCATCACCCTCTGGTTGGAGCACTGCAACTCTTGCCCACTATGTCGCCGCCATATCACCTTTTTCTAAGTCAAACCCTTTTATTTTATTATTATTACTTTAGTAAGCCGTTTAGGGGCAAAATATATTAATATTCTCGATCTCACTACTTCAACCTTTGCTTCACCTTTTAATAGAAGTTTTTAATTAATGTTTATTGCGTGTCGTGTACAAAATAGTTTTGTTAAAGTTAATACTGTTTAGATCACTTTATTCTGAAGTTCACTAAATTAAATTAAAATTACTAAATCTAATATTAAAGTGCTATAGTTCCCGGCTATTCATTTTGTAACGGGTTATTTCATTTCCTAAAATATTTTTATTATGAAAATATATTCAATATTATATTTGAAATTGTAAAATATTTTACATTTTCAGCCGATTAAAAATTACCTTAAGCTTATATTAGGTATAAAGTCAAAATTTAAAATATTACTTTATTCATAGTGGGGGTAAGAAAAGAGAAAGTTGTACCTCTTATACCAAAAAAAAAAAACACACACTAAATACAACTTTTAAAATAATTACTAAAATATTAATAAGTTTACTACATATGATAATGCAAAAAAATAATACCATATATAATAACTTAATTAATATGATTGTATGCCAACATAAAATTTATATTATCAATGAAATTTAATCAAATTCTTTTATATATATATATATAGATAATGATATGTTTGTCTTTCAATGATAATTAATAATCATTAATTTTTATTTATATAATAAAATTAATAATATTTGCAGTTTTAGAAGGCTAAAGTAAGTATTTATTCAATGATAAAATAGTAAAAAAAAGGTGCAGTTCACTTGGTTCAAATTTTAAAATATTTTATTATACATAATTCAAATAGATTTAATTTGATTAGAATGGTATTTTTTTTAAATATATACATACTAAAATGACGCCGTTATCTCTCTCTATCTATATATACTTCTAAAAATTGATTAAAAAAAAAAACATTTTCAGTGATGAAAATATATTTTATATGGAATTGACTTCATCTCATAAATGCAATGTCACCTTAAGATTTAAGGGTAGCGCTTACTTTGTGAATGTGTTATTTCATAATAAAAGACAATTCATTTTATATATACAAAGTACATATTTTAGCAGCCAAATGTATATTCTTGTAATTTTGTTCTAATCCCAAATACCAAATATAATAGCTCAAACATATGACGCTAATAACTAATAAGAACGTGAGGAAGAATTTTGAGGCTAAGACAATTTTTTAAAAAAAATACTTAATATAATATTAAATATTAACTTACATATTAATTTTGATAATTTAAAATTCTGAAATTATTTTTGAATATTATTTTAATATTAATCATGGTTTCTTTTTATTTAATTTTGAAAATTAAAGTTATATTTTATTTAATATTTTATATTGATACTTTTTCTTTTCATATATTAACCTTTGATAATGAATTATTATTGAGAAAATTTCAAGTCCCGCCAATTCTAGATCATTAAAAAAGGTCACCCATCATTTATTCACGTACTAAGTCCAATAGTACTGGACGTGATGGGGTATATTGGGAAAAATCCAAGTCCGATATCGACTAAAAATTAGGCAATTAAATAGTGTATAAGTGAAAAATAACTCTCACCTTACAAACTGGTTTTGTAGGGTTGATTTAGACTTAAATTCACTATTCTAAGATGGTCTCAGAGTTATCCTAGATTCTTAAAAATGGGCCACCCACCATTGATATATGTGTCATAGGCATGAGGGAGGTGTATTGAGAAAAACTCAAGTTCCACCAATCATAAATCATTAAAAAGGTATTGAAAAAAACTCAAATCTCATATCGACTAGAGATTAGATAATTGAATAGTATATAAGTGAAAAGCAACCCTTACCTTACAAGCTGGTTTCGTAGGTTTGAGTTAGACTTAAATCCACTATTCTAATAATTATAGTCTAAATTTTTACATAAAAAATTGAATAAACAAAATTGATTAAAAAAAATATACATAAAATTATGTTTTGGAGTCTTAAGAGGAAGGCCTAGATAGCCTTACTAAAAACACGGACCTGAACGCTAATAGATAAAATTTTAAAAAAATTAGGACTAGGCTACTATGTGTGGCTTGTCAATAAAACATTCATTTTATGTTTACAATAATATCCGGCAAATATAGAAATTAGATTTCCTATTTTTCAACAAATTGAAGATGGCTACATATATATTATTAGTATCATTAAATTATAAAAAGAAAGAAAACAGAAGCCAAAATTGTTCTGTGAACAATTTTATGAAATTGGAAACATACTAAAACACTTTCCTTACATGACAAAAAAAAAAATCTGAAATTGAAAATTTCAATATTAGAAATGTTGAACAGAATCTGAAATTGTAAACTCAATATTAGAAACGTTGAACGTTTTTAGAGAATGCGTGTATAAATGAAGGGTTGTGGGATATGATATCACACATATTATTTTTGTTTGAAGTAATTATTATCGGTGCGTAAGAGTAACAGGTGAAGGAATCATGGGTCGTCGTAAGATCGAGATTGTGATGGTAAAGAATCCCAATACAAGACAGGTCACATTCTCGAAGCGACGAACTGGCTTATTCAAAAAAGCGAATGAATTATCCATTTTGTGTGGAGTGGAAATTGCTATTGTTGTGTTCTCTCCAGGGAACAAACCTTACTCTTTTGGGCACCCTAGTGTCGATGTTGTTGCAGCCAAATTTCTTCAACAAGAGTCCGATTCAAACGATGATGCCCAAGAAAACAACCCATTTAATGAAGCTGCTCAAATTCATACCTTGAATCAACAATTGTGTGATGTTCAGGCCCAAATACGTGAAGAAGAAAAGAAGGGTGCAAAGCTTGATGAGGGACTCGAACAATACCAAGTCACACAACCCTCTCAATCTCAATATAAAGAATTGCAAGATTCATTTTTAAAGCTCCAGTGCAGGGTCAAGGACTGTCTTGATGCAATTGAGGTATCAGAATGTATGATGCTCCTTCGCCAAGAGCCAGTTGTGGGAATTACAAGAAGAAGAAGAAAGAATTGATGCTACGCAATATTGTAAATTATATTTTCATTTAATTAAAGTTATTTTCTTCTGTAATCCTTTTGTTTCGATTCCTCTTTGGTAAAGTTAGAGTGTGATGGGAGAAAAAAATAGTAGTAGGTGAACAAGTTTTCTTGTTCATTGGATTTAAAAAAATTACAAACAAAAAAGCTATTTTTAATTATTCTGTCTAGTTCTGCATTATTTCCGAAAGAATTGAATTTTCTTGAACATGATGTTGGATTAGAATCTCACAAATTTATATTAATTAAAATCTAATATGATTTTTTCTTACCGAGATATCTTTTTATAGCGTACGTGTATACAAATCTCATCTTTTCTGAAAAAAAAAATAAAAAGAGTACTCTTACAAATCTTGAGGTGCTAAATAAGAGTAAGAATTTTTTTATTGATAGATTTCTACAAATCTTAAAAGGCATTAAGGTGATTGTTAATTCCACCCAAGGCAGAGCTCTTTGAATGGAGAGTGGATGATTGTTCATGCATTTTCTGTTACAGCAGGAAGAATGAATATCACATGTCCTCTTTTCTTGCAAGGAAGTTGATCATGTGTGGAAAGAGTCCTGCCAATGGCTAAATGCTTACACAGTATTACCTGAAAAACCTGTTATTTGATCAATTTCTGTCTAAAGCAGGAGTAAAACAGTGGAGTGTTTTGTGGTGTGCATTTAGAAACAAAGAAATTACTGCGTGTTCAGGGGAAGGGGCTTTTCATAGACAAAGGTTGATGCATGATATAATTTTCACATGTTGGTCTTGGTTAAAACTTAAAAGAAAATTTTCAAAGCTTTAATTACTCAGTGGACGGTTAATCCAGGACTGTGCATAATTGCAGTTTGATAATCAGTAACACTAGAATATGTGTAATAGCAATACAAAACCACTTTGGTGGAGAGTTGAATTTCATAACATAAACTACCTATTGTCTTATAGGAGTTTTTATTTTATTTTATTTTATAATATTTCTGAATTTCATCTGGTTGGGATGTTCTCTTGCGGGATAAGAGGATATATAGGATTTATGTTCTGTTTAGTTTTCTCTTATGGTTGTGTACTGCATCTTATAACAGTTAAATACTTCTTATATCTTTTATCCTCTTTGATAAAAAAAAAGGTGATTGCTAATTTTAATTTTAAAAAATAAAAGATTAATCAATTAAAAGTAAAAAAATTCTACGTGTAAAGATGAAATAAATAAAAACAAAAAATATAATTCATATGTTTTAAAACATTAAAATTAAAAAAACAAATTGTCCTATACTTAGGTCCACAACCTAGGCCCACAACCTAGGCCCACTCGTTGTTGATAGGCATTCAAAATATATTTGGAATTGTTTGAATAACCACACCCAAAGGCCAAGGGCAGTCACAAACATTGGGCAATAAGTGAGAAAAAAAATCCAACTCGAATTACCTTTGCTGATCCTAAAAAAAAAATTGACCACCACAAATAAATTATACAGGGCATCCCATTTAATGACTAAAAAAATAGAAAAAAGATACTACTTTAAATAAAGATTCTTATGTCCTAAATTACAACTATTAAAAGTTGGAGAAAAAATTGTTGATTATAAAGTCTTGTCCAAATAAATTTAGATAAATAAAATTATCTTAAACTCTAAATAAAAATTTCAAATAACAATTGTATTATTACAAATAAATAAATATATATATATATATATATATATATATATATTGTGGTCTTTAAATGTTTACATGGAATGGTAATATATTTAAAATAATTATTACAATGAACTGAATACAAGATAGACATATTATTAGGATGATGTTCTAATCTTGAATCATGAGTGGTCTAATTGTTTTAACAAGGGATTCATGAGAGTGGTTTTTATTTGTTCCATTAGTAACAATCTAATAACACTCTTAGAATTAAATTTGTATATGTATTGTCGATAGCTTTCCGACCAAATTATCTTTAAACTATTGTAGATAACATGAAGTTCAGTCACAAGTGAAGAGTTAATACTTGTTGGGATACAAAAAAAGTTTCACATCATTGGATCATGAGAAGAAATAAAGATTTATAAAACACATATAGTTTTCATTGATACGAGGCCATTTGAGAGATGACCAAAAGCAAAATATGAGGATTTAGGCCAAAAGTGAATAATATCATACTAATATAGAGACGTGTGTGTGAACCTCGAGTATCCAACAATGGTATCAAAGCCAATGGTCAACTAAATGACCAGGTGTGGATTTAGGCCTAAAGTGAACAGTATCATATCAATGAAGAGACATGTGTGTTGTGAATCTCGAGTACCCGATAATGGTATCAGAGCCAATGATCGATCAAGTGACTAGGTGTGGAGGTCAGGCAACGTGTCCATTGATGTGAGCTAACAATGGTAAAAGTATCTAAAACTGATAGGTGACTAAAGCTGTAAGAACCACCACTGAATACTTGGTTAAACCATGGTCTTTTATTTGAGAGGAGGTTTTTTAGGTACAAACAAAGTCCCATATCATTGGATCATAAGGAAAAATAAAGGTTTATAAATCACATACAATCTCCATTGGTATGAAGCCTTTTAAGAGATGATCAAAAAACAAAATCACAAGGGATTAAGTTTAGAGTAGATAACATCATATCAATGTGAGGTAAACACCACTAAAGCAAGCTTTCCCCAAATTACCATGTGAGGTGGGTGTCGAAGTGCTACCTATATAACTTGTACGGATGAATTAATCAAGTTCAAGAGCCTCCAAAAGAACCAATTTTGCTAGTAGATGTTGATAAAAAGTGGACTTCTATTTCCCAAAAGGTTTTGGTGGAGCCATTCTTCTAGGTTGGCTTTCCATCTTGTTCATAATTTTTTTTTACTCAATGTTTGTGTTTGACTTTGGGTCTGGTTGGTGTCTACTTAAATAATTTCAAATGTTTTTTAAATGCTTATCAACATTGAGTGAGCCTAGGTCGTGGATTAGAGTGTAAGACAACACAATAGCAATGAGATTTTTTTTAGCGAGTGTGGGCTTGTGGGCTATTGACATATTATTCTGTAGGTTAATTTATGAATGTGTATACAACCCGTGACCAACCCCTCACTATGAGTTCAACTCAATTAAGTCGGATTCTAATCAAGTTGAATTAAAAAATTTCAAATAAATAGAATTTGCATTTGGTTTGAATTTGTGGTGATTGGATTGATTCATAAATTGTGACTCATTTTGACAGCTCTAATGTTTATTTGAAATTGTTATTTAGAATTTGAGACGATTTTTTTTAATCTGAATTTAATTGGATAAAACTTTATAAACAACAAATTTAATTATAAAATTTAATAAAACTTTATTAATTCATGATATTTCTATTTTAAAAAAATAAAAACAAAATTATTTTCTGAAACCAAGCTACCCCAAATTTTTAAAGGTGAAAACTGAGGTATTAAAAGCAGTACAAATATGAAAATAATTCACTTTTATGTAATATTAATTATTGTATCTATTAAATAAAATATATACATTAATATAAAAAAATGTAAATATATATTTCTTGAGCATATGACTTTTGGTTACAAGTATAGTACTTTTAAAATGAATTTTGGTATGAATCTATTTAATTATACTAAAAATTAATTACTAAATAAAAATATTTATTACAAAAATTAATGTCTTATCAATATATGTGATTTTTATTATTGTTTTATAAATAGTTTGAACATACATTTTTAATTATAAAATTCAAATGTACATTAATAAAATATATACATATAATCAAATCAATATATATATATATATATAATAATTTTTATTCTTAATTAATTTTTTACAAGTTATTAAGAAATATATTACATTCAACTATATATTTTTAAACAAATATTTTTTTATTATTATTCATACAACATTTTTTTATAAAAACAATATTAGATAAATAAAATTAACTTCAACGGAAAGATTGATACAAATTTTAATTCAATCAATTTAACATTAATAAAATATACCATAAATAATTATTCCCTTTATTTTTTTAATTGTCTTTTTTATAAAGTGTAAAATCAAAAAGAGGAGTTTGTCAAAAAGGGATTTGTTAAATTAAAAAACAATTTCGAATCCTTCGAAAAGCTATGAATTTTTATGATAATGAACAATTTTTTAGAAATTATTTCAAACAAAACAGATATCATATTTTGTTTGTAAGATGAAGTGTACCAGACGAACTGCATAATCTATATTAATGATACATTTATTTCTCGTTAAAAAGTCAGATCATTCTTTGAAAAATATTACATTATATTTCTTAATAAATCAAATAAGAAAGCCTCATTGAAGAAAATGAAAATTCGTATAAAGAAAATGTCAAATCATTTTGTGAAGAAAGAAAGATAAAATCTCGGATTACATGGAAAAGATACTACAAAGATTTCTCTATGCTAACACTACACTACCACACTCAAAATAGAAGAAAATGATAATATGTAGCTGCATGAATCAAATAAGAGGTACACGCATCTTGATAAACATTTAATGTTTTATTAAATGCGTCAACTGTAATCTCTAGGATCAATAAGGAAGATAGAAAAAAAAAGTGTTGTAAATAAAGAGAAATATACTTACAAAGCAAACTCACGCAGTGAGATATACAAAGCGGAAGCACTACAAAGAAGATCTTCATCGTAAATCTCATATATAGCTCTTTGTAATTCATTTGTGCTATATTTTTCATAGCATTACGCTTATAAAAGACAAAACTATCCTTGTAACTCTTGTCAAATTTATTTATAAGAGTTGAGCCTAGAGAGACTTGTGAAAAAAATAGTTAGTGTTGAACTGAGAGATGCTTGTGAAAAGAATACTTAGTGATTGAGCCTAGATAGACTTTTTAAAAGAATACTTGTATCTTGTACAAGATAGTAAAACTCAATCGGGTTGAATTGAGAATTGGGCATGGTCTTTGTGATTGAAACGAATCAATATAAAAATACTTGTGCCTCTTCATTTGTTGCTTTTCACTACTTCATCTGATCACTTTTCAGCTTTTGTTTGATTACTACTTTATTGCAAAAATGCAAATTTTTGATATACATTATTCAATCCTTTTCTAGTGTGTATCTTTTTCTCTAACATAAAGAGTTTTGGTTTTTTTTTTATTTATCATTCACTACTAGAATTTCTCTTATTTCATACGACTTTTCTTGCGAATTTTGTATTAAAATCCACA